CAACCAGGACCAGCACCACAACCAGGACCAGCACCACAACTAGGACGAGAACCAGGACGAGAACCAGGACCAGGACTACCGGAGAGCGACGGTCCGCTCGAGCCGAGGAGGGCGGAGGAGGAAGGGCGGAGGAAAGGAGGAAGGGGGCGTGCTATGATGACTTCACATAATGTGAAATATTAATATCAACACTATTAGCCGTTCCACTAACATTACATTTATTGATGGGAGAAAAGAATCCACACGTTTCCTTTTCATTCAAACAATCCGAGCAGTATTTCTCTTTATGGGTTTTATTTGTACTTGTATTTGTAACTATGCAAATATGTATTTCTCTTTTTTTGTATCTTTCTTTATTTGTATCTTTTCACGTCAACGACACCATCATTTTATTTGTGAAGTAAATAAAAGAAGCAGAAATCCGTTTTAAGGTGAAGTTCACGTTTTGTCCACAAAGGGGCGGAATAAACATCAATCCTTTGATTCCTGATGTCATTTAAATGTGGCAAAGAAGAAATCCGACACAATGAACATTTTATTTATAGAAAATAATTATATTTTCTATAAATTATAGTAGTTTATTTAATTATATATATTATTTTATTTTATCCAACTATTTGAACATTTATCTTTTGACTTATTTATATAAAAAAAATATTTTTGTTTTGTTTAGAAGTGCTCAAACAGCAAAATGACAAAAGACACAACAATATTAATTCAAATGAATTAACACAATAAACAATGGTGAAAGACACAGAATAGGATACTTCAATTACATACAATCCGATTGACATTTTAGTTCATTATTTTTCTGTTGAGTTTGATGGCTTAAAGTATTGAATGTTTAAATTCAAATATTGAAAAATCTGTTTATTTGAATTTATTTATATTTCTTATTTATCGATGCGTAATATAATTGATCGAATAATCTCTTTATGTTTATAATATTTCATAAGATATTTCATATGTGTCCACAAAAGCTAGTTGAATACATTTAGTGTAAAATTCGATTTAACGTGCTTTGTGAATTTGACGTGTTCAATAACCAGTGTTGGGCAAGTTACTGAAAATGTGTATTTAGTTACAGTTACTAGTTACTTCTTTTAAAGGTAATTGAATCACTTACCAGTTACTGGGTAAAAGTAATTAGTTACTCTAGAAAGTAACTTTTAAGTTACTTTTATGTCTGCTTTTTAAATGTAATGAATATAAATAGTACTGAACAGTCAAACACAATAAACATATTTTTTTGACCTATTTATTGTAATCAACAGGGCAACAGGCCTCCAAATCAAGCAATAGTACAAAAGTCCTTTTTAATACTTAACTTAATAGAAAATAACTGTTTGAGGCGTTTGCCTGAAGGCAACTGACTGGACAGTTGACAGGATGCATCTCATCTCCAACACAGCGATCGATCGATCAGCTCTGCCGGTTCATCGGCTGCTCTGCAGTCCGTGTGAAGAGGAGCGCTGGTTGTTTGCGTGGAGCGACGCCTGCAGTGTGGTACATTGGATCGAGCACTCAGGGCTCGATTGTGTTTGACTGTCACTACGACGGAGTTCTGTGATTGTTTGTTCATGCCTGCCGGTTGTGTGATTTGAGCGCCAGTAAATGACCTAACTTGTACTGCATCCTCGTCTCCGTGCATTTGTATCGATTTAGATAACCCACGTATAGTAAACGACTATAACAGTGATCATACATGTAGCATAAAGTCACAACATGCAGCATCTCTGTCCTCATGAGCGACGCGATGCTGTTTACGTGCACGTACGCGACTATTCTGTGACACACAACTGTTTAGTGCTGACAGGCAGCTGTTTACTTACTATTTTCCGGCCCTCCGCTTCGCGTCACAACAGAGAGTAACGCGAGTAACGAACTTATTTCAATTTCAGTAATTGTAACTGCGTTAATTTATTTAAAAAAATACTTCGTTACATGCTCGTTGCCGATAAAAGTAATAGAATTACAGTAATGCGTTACTTTGTAACGCGTTACTCCCAACACTGTCAATAACGTAGTATTCAATAATTTAACTTTATCATCTCTGTTGCTCGTGGATGACAGTGAAGGAACTGCGCATGCGCACATCGTCACCTGATAGACGATCTTTGGTTTAGCAAAATGGCGTCTGAAGACGTGCTGGCTTCTCTGGTAGGACTCAAACTGTCTCTAACGTTTAGATAGGGACTCGGTTTACACTGAGCTGCTTCCCCGGACATTGTTGCACGTTCGTGGGATCCATAAGAGGAAAGTTTGTAGGTTACCGAAGCGCGGCAGTGAGCTAGCTGTGCTAATGTTGCTAGCTTAGAAGAAAACACGTGTAGAATGGAGCCGTGGATAAACACTGTGACGTGTCACGTGCTTGATTTATGACATCAGATGGGATGTGTCGCGTGCTTGACTTATGACATCATTGTGTAACAGAGTCCCGCACCATGCCATTACGTCACAAGCTAGTTGGTTTGTTAATCAAGTGTTTTTTATATTATTT